GTCCGAAATATTCGTTATATACGATTTGATATTATTTTATTCCTTGATATTATTATATTTATTCGATATTTTATTACCTGCTGAAGATAGATTAGGAGAAAAATCAGCGTTCGGTGTACCGGGTAAATGTATACCGGGCAGTGGCACTTAACTAGACCTAATTCGGACATTTACCAAAGCGTCTATGTGATTGTCAATATTCTGCGGTGAAAGTCAACAACCACCCATTTCTGCCATTTACAATAACATCTATAATTACTAACAAGAACTAAATTTTTTGTTGAGAAAAAAAAAGAGTATAAACAAGAATGATCATGTCTCAGTCTCAGCATCGAATAAAAGCATAGAATTGGTTAAGGTTTCTTTAGATTTTTATGCAATAGAAACATCATTATTCTAATATGCTCATTCAATATTTTTTTTAATCTGAAATCCACAGGCACCAAATATTGTGTAGTAGCCGTTTTTTTATAGTATACAAACCCTTTTAGTCTTTGGTATTTTTTGAAAATCATAAAAGCGAAGGATCTTTCAAAAATCTTTCTTTTTTTGGAGCTAATTACAAGTTAGTAAAGAAGCATTTTGCAGCTTACAGTCCCTTTTCACGCTTAGTGCACTTGTTGCACATGATCTTTTAAAATTATTTGGCTAATAAAATTTCTCTGCGAGAAAATATATGTGAAACGTAAATCCATGATTTTATTCTGAATTAAGAATTACGAATGATCTATGAATAAAAAGAAGAAAAAAAGAAGACTATTTCCTACTTTTTTTTAAGTTCCTTTACCGTGAAAAATAAAAATGCCATATCTTGAGCAAAAAACGCTTGAACCAAAGCTATAGTTTTAAATTAAACTTGCCATTTTGGAGTAAAGATTTATTTGGAATTTTGAATGCACAAATAATTTAAAGACTTTAGAAGGCAATTTGGGGAGATTTTTACATTTAAATAAAAAGTAACGTCATTGGGAAAATCGTGATATTCGTCGAATCAGAAAAAACGCAGGCTCGGCACGTGAAGTCGCTTACTGGTATGCAATTAAATCTGATTTAAATTTCACGGTTTGGCATAATCACATTACTTCTTTTGGAGTTGAAAGTACCAAATCATAAAAATAAATACAAAAATATCAATTTGTGAAAATTTTCATGGAACCAGATAATTTAAGGTTGGTGTAACTGGTGTAAATATCAAACTTACGTAAGGGAAAATAAAATATTTCCAAAAATCCGTAAGTTCAAAACTTTAACTACGAAATCAAAACATTTAACGATTCAAGAGTCTTTGCTCTACGAAAAACTGCGAATTTTGGTAGATTACAGATTTTGATGGATTCAGCGATAAAAAATGCAGCTTATTATTATTTAAAAATATCATTAAACTTCTATTGACTAAGTTGCATAGTTTAAATAAATATAATTTTTAATTTTGAAATAAGAAAATATTTCTCATTTCTTATGGAACTTGCATATGGAACTAAACCTTGACAATTAGACAACCATAATGCTTTTGCATCCACACATTTTTCACATATTTGAAAACGAAAAATCATAAAGGTACTCAATTCAATATTAAAATAATGTTCAAAATAATATTTTTAACGGGTAGACATCAGTATTTTTTAGCAGCTTTCTACTAATTTCTATGTAATGACGTCATGTTAAGGAAGCAATAAACAACTAAACTCTGTGTTCGATAAATTTCTTTGAAATTTAAAACTTGAATAATCTCAAAAGATTTTCATATTGAAAAGAATTTTAATCCTTAATTTGAATCAGTCATGTTTAAGTGGATGAAGAAAGCTGTGTGAGTACTTATTAAAATTTTATTAAAATTTATAAATTTTATTTTAAAAGTTTCAGAAGATTTTTTGATATTTCTTGATTAATAAGGGCGCCAGCAAAAAGCCGTCAAAAACTGTAGACTTTCACTACGTAATTTATTTCATTGCATTTATTTTTAACGTCTAAAAATGAAATACAATAAAATTTAATTTAAAAAAACTAAATAAATCTACTAGTTTTTTTAATTAAATTTTTAAATTAAATTAATTTTTTTAAAATAAAACTAGTAAAAAGACTAGTTAGAAAAATTAGTGAATCTTAGCTGAATGAAAGGGTATATTAAAAGCTAATTAAAAATTATGTTAAATATTAAATAGAAAAATCTGTGCTGTTACGTTAAATCAAAATTATAATTTATTCGCTGTGATGCACATCGAAATTTTATTTTATTTAGTTTATAAGTTGTTTATTGTATTGTATTTGTTTAGATTTTTTTAATACATAAAATGCATCATGGTAAAAAGCATGTTTAATCGGACGTGGAAGGAAAATGAAGAAAAATTGAAAAAGTCCGACAATATGCGTATATTAAGTGCAAAGAAATCCTATGATTTCTATTTAATTATTAAAAAAAAGTTTTTAGGTTTTTATTTGAACATATCGGATTTTCCTATCGGATTTTACTGTAATTAAAGGTTTATGCATCTCACGCATTTTTTTGTTATTTAATTTTTATATTCTTTTATAATGCTTGATGAGTAGAGAAAATTTTTATGCAGAAACGTAACAACTTAATAATATTTAACTTAATAATTCATTTTTTTTTTAAAAATAAATTGAAATAATAAATAACTTACGCTTAGGAAGTATTGCCAACGACGTGTCTATGCTTCAAATATGTTAGTACCAAATAAGAAAAAGTAAAATGTTCATATCTGTGAAAGACGACTGCGAACCTGGTGTAAAAGCCATTATTATTTTTTTCTTATAGTATTTAAAAATTCCGTAAATGACAACGTTCTGATCATCCGCCATTTTGTCTTTGCATTTCCATATTCCATTTTATTTTATAATCGACGTTGAACAGCTGGCCCAATTTTTTGGGTTTACGACAACCAAAGTTCAACTCCGTAATTCCTTCAAACATTTTCAACTCCATCAACACCAAAGTTTAACTTGTAATTTTAAATCCAGTTAAGAAAACAAAGGAACTTCAGGATATTGAGAAATTTACTTTCGTGGAGGACTTTTTGGTGGGACAAAACCGCATTTGCTTTACATGAAGAGGAAAACCACGAAAATCTCCAACGAGTAGCCTGACTGCAATTGGACTCTAACACACTGTGAATGGTGAAAGCCGGATGCGGAATCCATATCGATCAGTCATCGCTGGGATTCGAACTCGGATCCCCTCATTGGAAGGCGAACGCATTATTTTTTAATATTTCTTCTTTCAGTATCCCATACAACCTATTGGTTTCTTCATGAGAGCCGAAAGTTATCTTCTTTAGAATTCCATGACTAAATAAACCACATGATGGCTATTTTTTCATATTTTCTGCAATGTTCCATCTGCGCATGTCCTACAGGAAGCTTATCAATGCATATGTCTTACATTGATTGTTTTGGACTTCTTTTTATGACTTGATGGCAAATGCAGCCTAAATATGTTTTATTAATTCATTTTGCAACTTTATTTATTTTAGAAAGTGTAGGAAATGGAGACCATTGATACACTGCAAATTTCTTTTTTAAGAATAACTAATAAATAAATATTTTTCAATCTTTAAATTTGCATAATATGGGTATGGAATAATTTTACACTGATTTAGCTTGCTAACTTTCTTGGCACAGAACAAAAATGAAAGTAGCCGTAGTTTTTATTTTAAACAAAATTATAAAATGTTAAATATAATGATATCAAGGATCAAAATATTATAATAGCAAGCAGTGAAAAAGTTTTCATGGTATGTATCATGTATTTAACTGTTTCATGTATTGTAATACATTCTTAAAAGTATCATTTCCAATAATACCCTATATCAAAGTTATTTTTAATTTCTTTCGAATAACATATTTCTTGTAAACTAAATTTCTAATATAGTATTAGTGAATATAGTATAATAGAGTCGATATTTTTAGAAAATTAAAGATAATTTATAAGAAGAAAATAAAACTTTTTATGTAAATACTTAAATTAATTTTTATTTGTTCAAGAAAAAACCTTATTGTCAAACTTTTCTTGACACCAGTGATGTTCGATTTATTGTGGTACTAAGTACAACTGGAAATTTCTTAACTGGTGTTGTGGTTTCAGGTACCTATTAATACCTTATAAAAGGGCTTCCGTAAAAAGTTTCTGCATCTTTTTCTAAATGGATTAGTACCAACTTTTATTTTTTTTAAAAAGAAGTTTAGTGAAGAAAAAAAAATATTACTCTGTATAATTTTTTATAATGTATAATCTGTATAATTTCTACTTAGTGACAAACTTAATATTTCAATGAATTGATTTCATATATGCTATTTAATTTGCGCTAACTATGTGGACAAGAAAGTTACTCTCTCAGAATGCATTACAGCTGATACAATTTTCTGATAATTAATAGATGAACAGTAACAGTAAATTGAAAAATATTATATCAATAATCAAGCGAAGACAAAGTCGAAAGTCTGAGATTCTTATAGTTAACTTTTTTTCGCATTTCGTCACGTCTTGGGAACTTCCTTTTTTTTGTTTGAAATCCACTCTTTTTCATTTTTGAAAATTAAAAGTCCTTTTACTCAAAAACTCAGTGTGAAAGAAAATTTTAATAATTATTAAGGTACTATTTCAATTCAACTGCAACTTTTCATTTCCATGTGTTTTAAAACAACATATTGGATTATAAAATACTTTTCACCTTATCTAATCTAAAGAGACTTTTTTACGCCAAAAATCTATCTCTGAAAATTTAAATGAAATAAATAGCACATTTTAGTCGCCTTTTGTATGATTTATAGATTTAACAACTAAGATTTAATGAGAAAGATAAAATTGTTGCCTTCAATATTAATTTCAGCTCGATTTAAATTGATTTTATATGTTTTTCTGATGAGAAAAGGAAAAAGAATTTTAATGAATTAAAATGTATTTTGAGCTCGTAGGTAAATTGTAATTCTATTTGAGCTATAAGCTAAGTTTTGTTCATGATGCTTTACATTCTTACTGATAGAGCTATGACGTCACCGTGTTCTAAAAATATTAATCAAGTCAATTGTTCTTGTTATAAGAACTTTTAATAATTTCGATCTTTTAAAAACAAATCGAGATGATGAACTATCTAAAGAAGCTGTAAGTTTTTTTTATATTTAATTTCATACTAATTATTGATGATTCAGGTTATATTAATGAATAAGATATATTTCCTTACTGTATAATTCATTTTGAAGTTAATTTGAAAAGTGCTAAATATTAACGTATAAATGAACTTTGTATAGTTTCATTTTTTTAAATTTTGAATTAGATATATATTAGCAGTCTTGAACTTTTGGTTTTTAAACTACGTTTGGAGCAAAAGTAATATTTTCTTTAAGCTTGTAGGCAAACTTTAAATTCTTGTACTAATATAGCTATAATAATATTTTCTACGGTGAAAGTTATGATTAAAGATAAACGTATATAAAAACTGCGGTTACTTTGTGGCAAATTGCAAGATGCTTTGTTAACGCTTCTCTAAAAAAATTTATTATCTGTGTGAAACTGTAATATATCTAGTACACAGATATAGTTCCATGTTAACTATATCAATAGGTTTTAAAGCAAAGATTGTTAATTTTGATTTATATGGCAGTTACCACTTTTGTTACAAGATTCGCAATAGTAATTAGTATAATTAATAAGCAAGAAACATATGAAATATCAACTCAAATCTACTTTTATTGTATCAACCTGATTAGGTTATTAGAAAAAAAAATTTATCATCTTTTAAGTAAATATTTCAAGTGAACATTTTTGTCATCCGATGTAATAGATCAAATCACTGAATCCAGTTTTTCGTTTTTGTATGCGTTTGCAAATCTCATTATCTGAATGAAATCGTATTTTCTCAATTAAGTCAATGACTGAAAATCTTATAATTTGATGTCGTTACTAGCTTCTCCTTTATTTTAGTATTGCTAAATTATATCAAAATAGCAAAAAGTCTCTAAAAAAAGCGAAATATTCTACAAATACTGCAAAAAAAATACCTGAAAAATTCACCGATACTTTAAAATGTGCTATTGATAGAGAAACATATTATAGAACACCTTATTTCTCATAATATAGAGTGGTATTAATTTTCATGCATCACGTTATAGATTTGTATTCATTTTAAAAGAGGTTTTAGAGGAGAAATTAATAGTCTTGTACATTGCATTCTCGGAGTTTTATAAATCATTACTTTTCTGAAAACATTCGTAACCATATTTGGCATACAAGTTAGTTTTTTTTCTTCAAGCCTAAATACCATATTTTTCTATTCTTAAAGATTATCAGAATGTCTCAGAAACTTAAATCGGCTTTTAGTGTTGAAACTACTTTTTTTCATACATAGTTCATTGAGGGATAAAATATTTCAATACCGCAGAAAGAATGAAAGAAAAAAAAATCTTTACACTTGTTGTACGTATCCAGTCCATTATTTTTTCTGTCGTAACAGCATCATTTTAGTTTTCAATTTGCCGGTCAGGTGGCCGAGCGGTTAGCGTGCCTGACTGCGAAGCCATTGGCTGCGGGTTCGAATCCCGCTCTTGGCATGGATGTTTCTCTCTCTCTTTGTGCTGTCCTCTGTTGTGTGTGTGTATGATGTGTGAATGTGGCCCACCCTATAAACGGGTTTGTGGCAGTGTGGCGTGGGCAATGTTGCTCGCCTCCGTGAATTTGGTTCACAGGTGCCCACTGGGTAACGCGAAATGAGCAACATTTCTGGCACAGTATAGGCAAAAGATTCAAATTCAATGCCTGCCATTGGAAGAAGAAAAAAAAGTTTTCAATTTGGCATTTTCTAGAGATTATATCTCTGATCGAAGTCTTCATACAAAAATTATAACGTTAACGTTTATGACGTAATATAATATAGGTATAACGTTTTAATTATAGGTATAACGTTTTATTAACGTGTTAATAAAATTATAACGTTTGTGACGTAATTGTGTGTTTTATGCACAAAATCTTCGCATATTTGAAAACGAAGAATCGGAAAAGTACTCAATTCAATATTAAAATAATGATCAAAAAATAATTGAATATTTTTAATGGGTACGCATCATCATTTTATAGCAGTTTGATGCTAATTTTTATTTAATGACGTCATATTAGAGAAGCAATAAACAACTAAACTCTGTGTTCCATAAATTTCTTTGATGCTGAAATTTTGAATACTCTCAAAAGATTTTCATTTTGAGAATTTTAATCTTTATTTTGAAAGAATTCAATCATGTTCAAGTGGGTTAAAAAAGCTGCGTGAGTATAAATTAAAATTTTATTAAAATGTAATAATTTATTTTAAAGTTTCACAAGATTGTTTGGTTTTTAGAAGTTAAGAGTCAAAATATGAAAAAAAAATAGAAAATGTTCGACTGTATGTGTATATTATGTGTAAAGAAATCCTATGATTTCCATTCAATTCCTCAAAAAAGGAGTTTTTCAATTTTTATTTGAATAAACCTTACTATCGAATTTTATTGTAATTTCAGGTTTCAGCATCTTATGCATTTTTTTGATATTTAATTTTTATAATCTTTCTTAATGCTTGATGAGTAACGAAAATGCTTCGTAGAAATTCAATAACTTAATAATATTTTTTTTAAAAATAAGTTGATATAATAATTAATAATAATTTGGAAGTATTGCCGACTACGTGTCTAAGCCTAAAATATAATGGCACCAAATAAGAAAATGATATACGTCTTTCACAAATAACAAAACTTAAAATATTCATATTTATGAAAAATGAAGAGTAACCTACTTTAAAAGCCTTTTTTATTTCTCGCTTACAGTATTTAAAAATTTCGTAACAGATAATGTTCTGATATTATGGCATTTTGTCTTTACATTTCCATAGTTTATTTTGTTTTATTTTATAACCGTCGTTGAACAACCATGCCAATTTCTTGGGTTTACGACTTCCAATGTTCGAATCCGCAGCCTTGTAATTTTTTAGCCAATCCGGAAGACAAGAAAACTACTGGAAGTGGGAGAAACATGCCTTCGTGGACAACTTTTTTGTTGGAAATAACCCTCATTTGCGTTACTCGGAAGGGAAATCACGAAAACTTCAAACGGTTAGAATGATGTCAGGGGGACTCTAACCCATAATCCGTCTACCACTGAGGATGAGACGTCGGCTTTGTGGTCTGTGCGAGTCGGGTGTGGAATTCATATCGACCAACCATTGCTGGGATTCGAATCTGGTTCATCTCATTGCAAAGCGAACGCTCGATCTCCTGAGCAACCACGACTCTACATTTCCATATATTTTATTTTATTTGATAACTGTCGTTGAACAGTCGACCCAAGTGTTTGGGTTTACGACTATTATGGCTAAACTCCGTAGCTTTGTAATTTTGAACCAAATCCAGAAGACAAGGAAACTCCTGAATCAAGTATTGGGATAAATTTGCCGTCTTGGAAGAATTTTCAATTGAACTAACCCGAATTTGCGTTACATGAACAAGAAAACCACGAAAACCACGAAAACATCCCACAGTTGGAATGACGTGAGGGGGACTCTAACCCATGATCTATCCTCCATTGAGAATATTTTACTTCCGCACTGTGTTCGGTGCAAGCCGGAAGCGGAATTCGTATCAAATAGTTATCTTTTGGATTCGAATCCGGTTCAAATCATTGGAAAAAGACCGCTGTATCCTCTCAGTCATAACGGATCATATTTCCACACAGTTAATATTGCAGCTACTTTTAAAACCCAGGTATTTGTTTAAAAAATGAATCAAGTTTATAGTTCTTATATTGTTCCAATATATCGCTGTAAAGAATTTCGACTTATACACCTTACAAGTACTGAAAGAAAATGAATTACAGAATTCACCCAGAATGCGAAAGTGATGAGTGATAGAAAATCATTGATTAAGAATTATTTTTCAATCTTTTTTCTTTCTTTCAGTATCTCCACACAATCCATTGTTTTCTTCATGAGAGCCTAAAGTTATCATCTTTAGGATTCCATGACTAAATAAGCCATAGAAGGAATATTTTTGGATGTTTTCTCTTGGTGAAAATGTTCCATCTGTATATGTCTTCTTACATTGATGGTTTTGGATTTGTTTTTTTTTATGACTCAAAGGCAAATGTAGTCTAAATATTATGATTTATTAATTGTGTTGCAACTTCATTTATTTTAAAAAGTGTAGAAAATGGAAGTCATTAGTACAATGTAAATTTCTTTTATTTAAATAAAATAATAAATAAATATCTTCCTGCCTTTTAATTTGCATAGTATGGGTATAGAGAAAAATTTTGCTCCGATTTAGCTTACTAACTTTCCAGGCGAAAAACAGCAATGAAAGTAAACATAGTTTTATAAGCAAATTTATATAATGCTAAATATAATAATATCATCAATCAAAATATACATTTTTCATTATACGTATTTAACAAAATAGAATTATTAAATCTTAAATTATAAAATATAACCATTTCATTCTTAAAAGCATTATTTCCATTAATACCTTATTTCTAATTTATTTTTTTATTTCTTTCGAATAACAAATTTCTTGTGAAATAGATTTCTTAATAAGCGAATAAACAGAGTCGAAACATTAAGAAACTTAAAGAAAATTTATGAAAAGCACTATTTTTAAATAAATACTTAAATTAATTTTCATTTTTTGAGGAAAAAACAGTATTTATCCGCTTTAGAGGATCGCAAAACTTGCAAATGTTTTCTCGACTCCAGTGATGCTTGATTTATTGTGGTACTAGGTACTACTGGAAATTTCATAACTGGTGTTGTGGTATTTGGTACTCATTACTACACTAGAAAAGGGCTTTCGTAAAATGATTCACATATCTTCTCTGAAACTATACCAAGATTTAATTATTTTTTTTGGGTACAAAAATCAAAATATTACTCTGAATAACTTGTTTGATAATGATTGGATTTCCATGAACTAATTTAATCTATCCTATCTTTATTTTTTGTGGGTAATAGCATATTTAAATTTCTTTACTAAACTGAATTATATTTTTAAACTAAATAAATAATTAATTTAATTTAAATTTGAAATTTATTAAATAAGAACATTAATAGAATTCTTCTACATAAGTACAATACTATGTCTTTGATGATAAAATACTATGTCTTTGATGATAATATACTGACTTTGTGCTAGAACATTGCGTTCATTGGCGAGCGAGCGCAGCGAGCCATGGTTCACGGCGTGAACCACATAGGATTGCATAGCATTTCTCGGGGGTTGGCGAGCGTTAGCGAGCAGGGGGTGGAGTCTCCTAGTTTATTTTATGTTTCTAGAGAAAATTCTGCGTTTGTTAAAATAGTTAAATTACGTTCCCCCCTGAAATAATTTGTAATTGTATCGAATTGTTTAATCGTGTTTGAATTTTTTGTAATTCTTATCATTGTGCATTCTTATCCCATAATATGTAATAGTGTAAATCATAATACAATTTGCTTGCTTTTTTTATTAATGTTTCGTTTACATTAGTTCTAAAGTATTTTGTATGAAACAGTTGCCTTAATGCCTCACGATATCTCTATAAATGAAAGAAATATGAGTGAAATCAGAAAAAAGTGTAAATTAGTTTGCAAGACTATTACACGAAAATTTTTTTTATTCAATTTAATGAAATTTATTTTGCACATATTTGTTTATACATCTTAAAAGATTCTCACGTGTGCTTTTCGCATCATTATTAAGTTTGAACCAACTGAAATATAATGAGGGAAGTAATATATTATCTTAAATATTTATCCTTGCTGGATTTTAGATATTTAATTTTCTATTTCTGATGGACACAAAAGAGCTATAAATGATTAAAAGGTGTATCAAACTCTTATGACAAGCTTTTGATTCCAGGCGAGCTGTAAGCTCGTATTTTTTATTTCCAATGCTATTCGTAATAATGTTAGCCCTGTGACGTCATCGTGTTCTATAGATATTAAATTAGTAATTTGCTCTTGTTATAAGTGTTGTTATGCTACTGAATATTTAAAATCATATCGAGGATAAATTTTCTAAAAAAATTGGAAATTTTGAAATAATATTTTTGATTTTTAATTCATAATTAAGATTGAGTTGAATAAGATTAATTTCCTAGTTCTTTTTTAAAATTATTATGTATCCCGTTGAATAATGCATAAATTAGCTTTGAACAGCTCCCTAAAATATCAAATATTAGGAACTGATTTTTAATAATCCTTTTGAACAAAACTGTAGGATTAATATTTAATAATAATACATGACAAATGATCATAATTATACTATTAATTCATTTATTCTTTGTGCAGATGTACAAATAATTTCTATGACTGAAATTCGGAATTTAGTACTAATGCACGATGCTTTTAAAAACAGTTAGACGAAAAATTCAATCTATGTTTTAAATTTGCCAATATGAAAACTCCATATTAATTGCATTCAAATTTTTGATAGAATGGGAAATTTAAATCGTGTCCCTGAAAAAGGAATACATTTCATTTTCTGAGTATTCAGAAGATTTTATACGCCAATTTGAGTTTTGTTAATTTGGACTTGTTTTATAGTTCCTTACAAGATTACTAATTATGTTAATTTCATGTTTAGAATAGAATTAGTAGAAAATAAATAAAAAATATTTCACAATATTGAATTGCTTAAGTTATTTCAAATTTTCATAAAATTTCCTGTTATTATTTCACGTGAAAGTTTTTTCGTAGCGTAATTAAATTCATCGCTTCCTCAAACCTAGCAATTTTTTTTAATGCGATAGTGAATATTGATGGGTTTCTTTCTCTATAACATAAATGAATAAAATTATTTCTGTTGATATTTTTTTATTCAATTTTATTTTGAAATAAACTAAGTTCAGTAAGTGGAATGGCCACACAATAGTGTCACTTCGAAAGTATAATCAAGTACTCATACTGTCTTTTATCATAATTTTTTAAAACATAGTTTTTGAAATGTTTGCTTCCCAGGAAATAGAGAAAAAAGTAATTTAGAACTCTAATCTTTGTAATGTTCTGTGATTTGGTAAGATGACGATACTAGTAATTATAAGAGTGTCGACGGTCTGTCATTTTTATTTGCCAAACTGTCACATTTTCAGTGCTTTTAAAGTTATCTAAAACAATAAGTGCTTTTTTTTAAATTTTTTTTTGGGGGGGGGTATAGTTTTCATAAATCTAAATAATATAAAATCAATAGTAATTGAAGCAAAAACTCAATTATGCACTAAAATGAAAATTTATTCAGAGAATGTTTCGAATTTCTTATGTCTCGAATAAACCTGAAATTGTCATGAACAATAGCAACATACTCAGTGTTGATTGATCCTTATTTTAATTAAGTAATCTTTATTTCGATTTGAAGATTTGTAAAAATAATTTTCAAAACTGCAAACTTAAATTCCACGGAAAGGATAATATATGATAAAAATTGGATTTTTTTTTCTCTTTGTGAATTTTTTTGTATATTCCTTTCATATTACGCCTATGCAAATGTTTATTGTTGATTTATTCATTCTTCTCTACATACGGAGAATTGGATTTAATTTATTGGCGAACAGCAAAAATCATTAGCTGTACTTTATTTTAAAAGGAAAACATAAAGCGATTTCTAAGTTTACCTGATATGAGAAGGTCCGTAATCTATGAAACACTTTTAATGGAGAATGTTTAAAGAGAACTAATAATTGAACAGTGCCTAATTTTATTTTGAATTTGTACTTGGTCTGTTAAAGGCTCGATACATTCCTTTAAAAATTTTGAACTATAATGTTAAACTGAATGAGTTCCTCTTCTTTCTTTTCAGGCGACGGGCCTTTGGAGGCAAGAGAAAAGGAGATGCTGTAGAACTGAAGAAGGAAAAGATTCCACTTCTTCATGTGACTCAAGAGGACGAGGAGGACTTCTTTCGTTGGAAAGTTCCTTTTCAGGAATGCAATTTGGTGAATTGTCAGCCTGATGTTCAGAAGGTGGTGAAGTTGTGTGAAGAGAAAGATTTGCTTGTTACCACCGCCAGTAAAGATGAAGTAACGGATCAGTCGACTAAAGTGGACTTAGTTTTCACCGATGTTGAATTGACACCATCTCTTCATCGTGCCTGGCTGGATGTCAACTACATCTTAAGAGAGGTAAGTCCAAAAATGTGAAAAAATAAGTGATTCAAAATAGAAGAATGTTTTAAGATAGTTCCTTACGATCTAAAATCTTATTAAAAAGAGCTCAACAGAAACGCTGACAGTGTCTGAAAGCAGATCAACTTACGCCAATTTTTCGTATATAATTCATATTTTTGCCAAGAAACGTTGAAAAGTATTTTCTCGAAAAATTTTGCAATCACAAAGTTTTCTTTGTCCATATTTCCTTTCCTTCAGAACTGGTAAAAAAACATCTTTCTCATTAACTTGAGTCTGCATTTCGACCCATGTCACATACTTGTCATTTTGACACAATTTAATAGTAAGTAAGAATATAATTATCTCGATTTTCTCATGGTTTATCATGTCTCAAGGAAGAAAATTGCACAAATATTAGGATATCAATACTCAGTTTTCATATTCCACCAATGGCTCTCTCTTATATGTATCATAAATCGAAATAATATTGACAGCTATTTCCATAATATTCTCGTATTATAGTTTCTAGGTTAGATATGCTGCTGACTCCTTTTAAAACCTGATTATCTTCACTGAAATAAACTATTACTTAATGAACACAATTCTCTCCCATTAACAAAAGTCCAGATTTTTCACAAAGCAGCTGAAGTCCAATGAGAAACTGACTTTTACGCAAGAAACGCTTTGACTATACACTTTAACTTTATACGTTGACTTCCACGGGCGAATGTTGACAATCACATAGTCGCTTTGGTAAATTTCTGAAATATATACTATGTCTAGTTAAGTGGTCTAGTTTATACAAGGGAAATTCTTTTAAAAAGCCCTTACTCAAGTGCCACTCTTTCCCTCACACACCCAAGGGACAGTTCTCTTTCATCGAGTGTTTCCTCAAGTATCAAGCATTTTAATCAAGTATTAACTGCCCGGTATACATTTGCAAGGTAGACCCTACATCAATGTTTTTTAAGGCCATGTGCCACTGTCCAGTATGCATTTAACCGGTTCTCCGAAAACTCACGTTTCTCTTAATCCATCCTCAGCAGATCTTAAAATATCAAATAAATGCAATAATACCAAAGAATAAATTAATATCAGAACGTATATGACAAATATTTCGGACATTCACAAACGCGACTATGGCATTGTTGACATTGACCTGTAAAATTCGACATTTACTTAATTTCGGTCATTCACAGTAGCGTACATATATTTGTTAAACTGTAATGCATCTAATTTATTTACTTAAAATGTTTCTATTTACAGTACGACATCGAAAGAAGTCTCACTGTTCCCTTGATGACGAAACCTATTCTGCCTAATTTTGCGGGAAAATTTGATGTCACTGTTGTGCGATGCAATAGCTGTACTTATTGGTGACCGGTGAGTGGATTGCTTACAATTTATCATGCGTAGTAGCACTGTTCACTATATTTTACTTCAAAAATCTCCCTCACATTGCTAGGTATATGATATAGTATTATCAGACAAAACATTTCATCTCTTCAAATTTCAAAATCAAATTATTCAATTATCTATTTGGCAATTTAAATTTTATTTAATTACTTTAAACAGGCAAGTGATTTAATAATCCCATTATGATTTCCTTTACTAAAAAATAATATTGAAAAGGTTTGCCTTAAAAAAAATAAAGGATCTACCATGATTTTTGCAGCTTGCTACAAATATGGAAATATAACATAGTAGTAATTATTTACATAATGAAATATAAAACAAATCTATTACAATAAATAAATCTTTAAATCTTAATTAAATTTTAAGAATGTCAAGCAAAATTAACTAATTTCTAAATTTATAAAAATCAATTTCTGAGAAAACATATATAGAAGAAACAATTTCCTGAACAATTACAGAGCTTTTTTTCTTTCTCTTAACGTGATTGTAAACATACGCAGTTTTTTTTAAAAAAAGATAGCTCTAAAAACTCCTTAACCTTGTTAATTCTTTAAAGTATATATTAATTTTTAACTACTTTCAAAAATTGTTCAATAAACTCAAGTGTTCGGATTAAAACGTAACACTTTTTCAATTATTAAATGTGAATAATTTTTTTAATGTCCAATTTTGTCTGATTTTCTGCAACTATTTGTACTTTTGCATTCCCGCATTTATAATTTTTCCAATTTTTTCTATCAAAATGCAAGATTTATTGTTAAGATTTTTAATACTTTTTTCCTAAGTGTTTTTAAAATTTTTTAGTGGTACTGAAATATTAAGTTTTTAATACGACGCCCATTATTTTAAAACTCAATGAAAGTATCGATTTCTTTATATTAAACAAAAACTGAAATTGAATAGAATAAATTTCTTTATTTTATTTACTTTTCCATGAAAATAAAATTTAATGAATACTTATAAGAAAAAAATGCTCAATTCATATTCAAAAATATTTAACTATTTTACTCACGAAACACTTTTTCTGTTCACAAAGTATTCTAAAATAACATTTGAACATTCATCTGAATATCAAAACGAGATGGGAACTGTAAAATATTTTTGTATTGTCATTTATAATGAAAAATTCAGAAATTGTATTTTTTTTTTATTATTTAGACTAATATTTTTAACAGGATTCCTACGATCTGGAAAGAAATAGAAATGTTTCGCAAAATTATGGGAGAGACAGATGCTTTTAACATAAAAAAAAATTCTAAATTTTCAGAAAAAAACTTTTAAATTAGGAATCTGTTGCACTCTTAAAAAGAGCTTTTAATATAGAAAATCTTGGCTTAATCGCAGCAACGATTAATCAAGTGTGATTACTGCAACAATATTAAAATTACAGCTAAATTATTTTACACGGTGACCAATAAGTTCTCATACACATTCAAATTTTCATGACAGAAATACAAAATAAATCATTCACAATTTTTTTGCATTAAATTAAAGTAACAATCTTTACTATAAATGCTTTGAAATAACGCCGTCTTTTAGTTTATGAACTTAAGTTCGAAATCATCGCATGCGGCATTTCTTGCTATATCTTTTGAATTTGTACAAATTGGTGATTTTGTATTGGGAGTACAAATTAGTTCTGTTCCTTTTTTCCTGTGGTCAAATATGCATTCATTTCAGAACAAAATGAATGAACAGATTAATCAAAGTATTGTCCATCGCTGGTTACTACTTTTTCCACCTCTCAGGCATTTTTCAAATTTAATCTCGAAAGAATGTCTCGTCTTTTGAGGCGATCCAAAATAGGAGACAATTCTCGATTTCTGCGAAAGAAGTGAACCGGTGACCTGCCAAATCGTGCTGCATCCGTCGGAACAAAAAGTAATCAGAAAGAGCAATGTCTGTCGAATACGGTGGGTGCGGTAAAATATCCCACTTGAGCTTTTTCAAATACTTTTTTAATACTACTACATGAGGCCGACCGTTAAAATGCAGAAGAATAACTTTGTCATCTCTTTGCTCGTTTCCGGCCGTTTTTCTCGTAATGCATTTCTGAAACGAATCAATTGTAGCCTATACCGATGACCCGTAGTGTAATCGCCAGGTTGTAGCAGCTCATAGTATACAACACCATTTTCGTTCATCATTCTTTCAACTTCGAAACCATTCCTTACATGATTTATGAGTTGGAGCATTGTCATCATAAACGTCTACAAGCATTCGATGTGCTTCAGCTGCACTTTTCCTCCAATTAAAGCAGAAAAACAAAACTTCCCACTAAAGCTGCTTAGTTACCACAAAATTTGACATATTCAACAAAGTAAAAAAAAAAGGGGTTTTGAATGAAAGTCAATGCGATGTAAACTGAATATTATTGATAGATGTCTAACCTCTCTGAAACCACCGAAATCAGCCGTCACTATGAAACATTCATAACAGCCAGAGCCCTCTTTTGAAAACGGACCGAACTAATTTGTACTCCCAATAATTATTAAGTTGAGAGAGAGTGTGTGTGACCAAACAATATAATCAAGCTGTTTTATACCGGGAGAGTTGGGAGACCATTCATTTAGACAAAATGTCCTCTATATGTTTGCTGTCCAACTCTTGAACAAAACGTGTGGTACGAAGAGCACCATCTTTTTTGAGGCAGAAAAATTTCCCTTATACATAATCTTTAAGTAAAACTTTTTTGAGAACCCCAGTTTTATATTATTTAGCATTGATTTTTACTCCCTTTTTAAAGAAAACTAACAGAAGCTTGCATTTCTTTGAAATAGCCCCAAACCCTCGAAGTCATTGCAGAGGAAACATTTTTATAGGCAGATCATGTCATTTTGTGGATTGAGACCGTAAAACGAATAATTTGTCGTCTGAAAAGGCAAACTCGTTTTCAGGGTGCCAAGCAAGAGATTCTACCACCCTCTGCCTCTTTTTCTTCTCAGCAAACTCTGAAAATACGTGAATTTTGCTCTTTCGAAAAGTTTTGAAGCCAAAGTCTTTTCTCAGAGTGTTTAACATTGATTCCCTCGAAATCTTGAGCTCTCAGGCTGGCTTTGTAGCAGATCTTTATCCGTTTCGTCGGTTCTTTTCCCTGAACTTTTTAAAATATCGTTTGTCCATTTTGTTATATCCTTTCCCTGAACCTTTTCACAGTCTCTTTTGTCCGTAAAGTCAATGGTCGGTTAGATTTTCTTCCCTCATGGACTGAGGACATCTCATTATACCTTCTGGTAGTTCTGTAAATAAAAATCTCTATTCACCCCTCGGGGGTTTTCAAGTCCCTAAAATTTATCCAGCTGCTCTCCTTTGATGAATTTACCCATCAGTATTTCTCTAAATTTCTTCATTCTATCAAAGTGAAAAAATTATAAGTAGTAAAACATATTAGCTTGCAATCGCTTACACTAAATTGCCCAAAAATGATTGGCATTACAGCAATAATTATATAATTTTTTAGCGTCCTTCAAAACAGGTGTATGAGAACGTTTTGATCACGGTGTGCACTATGTCATAACGTGCACTAAAATTTTAAATTCTGTACAAATGTTTTTTTTAAACTGAAAGTAAAATGAAAGCGTAAAAATATTCAAAACGGTTTTCTAAAGGTAATAAATTTCCGCACATTTCTGGAAATTTTATTGGAAGTTTTCACTTTTTCCTGGATCGTAGGAATCCTGTTTTATTTACAGGTTCTGTGTAGAAGTAAGTCGCTACCTTAAAATGCAAACTGAAATATTATTGTTACTGCAGATTCAATGGTAATATGCTTTTTTTTTCACTTTGATGCTTATCCGCGTCTGATTGTGGTCATTGTAGTAAGTAAATATATTTAAAAGGCACAGAAACTTATTTATAGCTAATTTTATTCGAAAATAGTTAACAATTCAATCCATTTGATATCTGTTTTTTAATTAATATCTTGCAATTTCTACATTTTTACAGCATTTTAAAAGGAAATTTTTCTTGGAGGTGATACATATTTGCAATAAAGAATTCATGTCCAAAATTATTTCGTCCTTTGTAGTTATGAAATAAGCGTTTTTTTATGTCGACTTCACATGATTAATAAACATAACCGGTGACTAAATTAGCAACTTCTTACTGAATTAATTATTTTTTTTTTAAATTAAGAAAAAGTAAAATGTTTTAATTGCTTATTTCTAGGAGACATATAATTCCTTATTTGTGAGGTGATAAATAATTCAGTTAGAGAATTCATGTCCAAAATTAATTGCTACAATTGTTATTTTAAATTAATCGTATTTTTATGCCGACTTATTGTGATGAAAAAATATTGCTTATTACTAAATTAGCAATTTTGTGCTATATTAATTAGTTTTTTAAATTAAGAAAAAGTGAAAAAATTTTATTGCTAATCTCAGTTGTTTGTGAAGCCAATAATCAGCTAGAATTTGTAATTGTTTTTGTAATATCATTTTCAACGAACCATTAATTTTTTTTTACTTTTAAATTATCAAATTTTCACATGTTTCCCACGTACTGGGAAATATAGAAACTTGCAACAAAATTATGGGATTTATTATTTTACTTGAAAATATTATAAAAAATAGCACACTTCTTAAAATTGAGTTTAAATTTGTAATGTCAGCACTTTAAACTGCAATATCTTCGACCACTTTATCGTGCCACAATCTTAAAAAGACTTTCCAGTTATATTTATGAGATATTTTTTGTATAAGTTAAAGCATAGCAAATGACTAATCACGTTTAAAAATTGTTAAATAGAAAGATAATGCAACAATGTGATATTTATAACCCGAACGTGGTTTCAGCAATGCTTTTAAGATGCAATCGTTCAATATTATCTGTAATTATTAAAAAGTTTTTAATTTAAAAAAGCTTCAGATTTAAAAAATGTTTAGGATATTTTAAATCCATCTTAAAAGTTAAATGTATAAAAATTTTAGCATTTTTCTAGAAATTTACTTGCAGGTTGTGGG